CTGCCATTTGTAATTTTGTTTATTTGCCGTTGCCATAACTTGCCTTTTTATTATAGTATGCAGTTTCATATTTATACATTTTGTTACTTCAATAAAGACGTAATAAATATATGTTTAACGAAATATATTATATAATAAAGTATTATAATTATTAAATAAAAAAATGATTAAAATGATGTGTCATTTAAAATAATATTTCTTTCATGGCAATATAACATAACGTGCGAGGGAGATAGATATTATTCCATCTCGCTTCTTTAAAGCCCCCCAAGGTCATCTCCCGGTGCCAATCTGCTATTAGGAAGTTGACCGGCCCTGATAAATAATGTCAGATGTCAAATTTTGATTTCACTATTGGTCATTTCATTGTATTTCAAAAGAATTTTGAAAAAAGTTGCCAACTAGGAAAAAAAATTGTCAATGGCATAGGCAGTGTTGCCGGCGTAGATTAATCGAAAGTTACGGCGGCAACGGCATGCATACAAAATTACTACATACATACATACATATAATCACGCCTCTTTCCCGTAGGGGTAGGCAGAGACCACTTCTTTTCACTTGCTACGATCCTTGTTTACATACTTGTTTCGCTTCGTCCACTTTCATTATTCTCTTCATACATGCTCTACGGTTTAGGGTGCTCTTGACCTGGCCTTTTTTCTAGACGTCCCTGATTTGGTCTTGAAATGTCCGCCTAGGTCTACCCCTTCCAGCACTTTCATTCACACTCACCTTATGCCCTTTTTTCGTCAATCGTTCTTCATTCATTTTCTCGACATGGCCGAACCATCTCAACATACCTTTTTCAATTTTTGTCACTACATCTTCTTTCAGACCACAACGTTTCCTTATCTCACTATTTCTTATCCTGTCACTCAGTTTAACTCCTATTATACTTCTCAACGCTCTCATCTCAACTGCATTTATTCTGCTTTCATATTTATTCTGCCATACCCAACTTTCACTTCCGTACGTGAGTGTCGGAACCAACACCCCCTCATGCACAGCCAAATGAGCCTTGTTAGACACCTTCCGACTGCTCACAAAGGAGTGCAAAGCTCCATTCACCATGTTTCCTGCATTCACTCTTCTTTCGATATCACTCTCACACTTTCCATCTTTTGTAAACTTTGAACCCAGATACACAAACTCTTTTACCTAATCTATTTGTTCAACTCCAATCACGATATTGCAGTCTGTCACTGCCTCATCTCTTTCAAATACCATCAATTTCGTCTTCCTTACATTCATCTTCATTCCCTTCCTAACAAAAGCTCCACTCATAGTAGTTACCATCTCCTGCAACTCCTCGGCCGAAGACGCAAGTAATACTTGGTCATCAGCATAGAGAAAACATTTGACGAGTAACTCATTCATTCTCCACCCGCTTTCATTCTTTTTTAAATCTGTCAAGCAATTGTCCAAGAACAGATTAAGCAGCCGCGGTGACATCCCTGTCTAACACCTTTTTCGATACTAAACCATTCAGTGTATGTCCCGTTTATCCTTACACAAGCACTAGAATCCCTATAAAGAGATTGCAATGCTCGTACGAGGATACTGCTCACACCGTTCACGGACAGTGCTGACCACAATTCATTCCTCACCACTCTATCATAGGCCTTTTCTAGGTCCACGAACGCGCCATAAACCTTCTTGTTTTTAGCCAAACACTTTTCGGCTACGCACCGCAAGGAAAAGACCTGATCCGTACATCCCATTCCCTTTCTAAATCCCGCTTGTGCATCCCATACTTTCGTCTGTTTTATTCACAACCCTTTCAATCAACACTTTCGCATACAATTTACCGACGACGCTGAGAAGGCTCAGACCGCGGTAATTTATGCAGTCCTGCCGTGACCCTTTTCCCTTATACAAAGGCACGATTACGGCTTTGCACCAGTCTCCTGGTACTTGCCCAATTCGCCAGCACAAATTGAAAAGGCGGTACAGCCACTATGCCCTGTCCAGCCCTCAGCAGCTCGACGGTAATCCTGTCATACCCTGCAGCCTTACCTACTCTCATACTTTTCAACGCTTTCACTATTTCATCCATGCTTATCTCACTTTCATCAACATTTATATTAGTTTTTATGGAAGGTGCCGGATGCTGTACCTGCACTTCCTCTCTTTCAAACAAACTTTCAAAATACTCTTTCCATCTGTTTAACACACATTCTTCTCCTTTTATAATGCAGCCATCTTGACTCCTGATTGTGCTCAGCTCCGAGGTAGAAGTTTTTCCTCTGGCTGTTTTGATGGATTTCCAGAAAAACTTAATGTTTGACTGGAAATCTTCAGTGAGCCTCCTATCGAAATCATCCTTTCTTTATTCTTTCTTTCTAGACACAACTTCTTTCGCTGCTGTTTTCAATCTTTCATACTTCGTTCTTGCTTCTTTTATATCGTCATCCGTTGCCTTTTGAACTTTTTGGTTAGCTTTTGTTGCTAACCAATCCACCCACGCTTTCTTCTTTTCTTGCACAACGCTTTGTACGTCTTTATCCATCCACACGTTATAGTTATTTCTTCCTTTCTTTCTTTTAGCTACCCCGCATACTTCAATAGCAACATTCACGACCTCTTTCTTAAATGTCTCCCACAAATCTTCAATCACACCTATCTCTTTTATGACTTTAAAACTTTCTTTCAGTTTCTCTACATACTCATCTTTCTTTTCTTTTTCTTGTTGATTTTCCACTTTTACTCTGTCCAGAACACTCGTAGGCTCGGCCCCTCGGTGTCGCCACCGTTTAAAGAGGCCACTCATTCGGACTATGACCAGGAAGTGGTTTGTGTCGAGGCCTACACCTCGGTATGCCCAAGTGTCTAGCACTTTCTTCCTCAGTCTTTCATCCACAATTACAAAATCAATCATACTTCTAGACTCACCCTCATATCTTGTATACAAATGGATCTTTTTGTGATCAAACATTGTGTTGGCCACGCACAAATTCCATTCCAAGCATACTTCAAGCAGGTTTCTCCCATTGTCATTCACTCTCTCGTCCCCAAATGTATCCAGAACTCCTTCATACCCATCATGATTTACTCCAACCCATCCATTAAAGTCCCCTAACATCACGATCCGTTCATTTTCTCCGCATTTATTCAAGACCTCTCTCATGCTATCCCAAAATTTCTCTCTCTCTTGTTGGGATTTTAATGACCCACCTCCACGCAGATCCTTCGGTGCATAGACCCCAAGGATAAACAAGCGAGTGAGTCCGACTTTTAACCTAACCCAAAGGAGTCTTGGGCTTACACATTCAACCCCGGTCGCCCGGTCCCAGAGCAGTGTGGCACGCTAACGACTAGGCTTGCCCCTAGCCATGCATCCATCCGCGCGACAGTCGTTGGATTGGCGGGGAGGGTAGGATTAGGAAAAGGGGAAGGATATGTGGTGTGAAAAGGAAGAGTAAAGTAATTTAGGGTAGGAAATAGGAAATGTAGGATATTACCGTCCAGGAGGGCAAGGGATAGGACAGTAATAGCTAGGGAAGCCGGGGTTGCATACCAGTATACTATACCACAACTACCGGACAGGTGAATTGGGATGAGTATCCCACGGCTCCCTTTTTATACAGTACAAAATTACTGTACTGTATAAAAAGGGTTATTATAGTATAAATGAATACATGGTTGATAATAACCCCTGGGAATGAGGTGGTCGCTTTCAAGCATTTTCTAAAATAAATTTTGTAATTAGTTTGTAATCATTTATATTGTAAAATTTATTTTAAAAAAAAAGTCCCGCTGGGTTTCTTGCTGGTTCTTCCCAGGACAGAGGGTTTATTCGAACCAGTGGTAAAGTAAAAAATTACTTTCAATAAGAATTACAAATGTAATCTATATTGAATAAAAAAATATTCTATTCTATTCTGCATTTCTAAAACTATAAGTTATGAAGTGATTCTTTTTATTTACATATTTTCATCCATAAATATCCACTGCCAAATATAGGCCTTAGATTGCCTTAAAAGGAGAATATTATCTATAAGTATTTGTCTACCGACAAAAAACATGGAATTTTCAATAATGAAATATGAGATTTCTTTGGTCGCATATTGATTTCCTCTATTACGAGGACTAAATGAATGGTTAATAAAAAATCTTTACAAAATTATTATTTTTATTTTGTAGTTACCCACTCCAGTTTTGTCTACTCATTGGACCTTTTTAAACCTTTTTTTTTTTTACAGTTATTGAACAAAAACTCGTGGTGGCAGCTTACTAGCTACTGTCATCAGGCTCGCCCGTAGCTCGTATTGCGTGCGTCCGCATAAGCCTTTTGGTATTCGATTTGCAGCCAAAAAACAATTATGTTGCAATCTAGTATGTGTATTCCTGCCTTCACTTTAATAGAACAGAACACTGTCAAACAAATATCGTTGAACACTACAAAGTCTAATATGAAATAAAGTGGATTTTGATATGTAAAAGTGGTGCGATTTTGTGTATTAAATGTCTGCGCACATCAACTATTAGTGGAAGCGGTGAAACAAGTGCTTCGATGTTAGAGAGAAACTCTAGATAAGGTGTCTCTCTGCTTAAGCTCCTTGAGGTTCTATCGCCAACTGTCTGGTAGCTCAAGTTGCCTTCAAAATCTCCCAAAGGCTACGCGATGTGATGCACCAACATATTGTGAACCAGTGTACCATAAAGGATTATCACGTGATACTGAGATAAAATGAAGACATGGCTTTAAAGACAAACATCCAAGCCAAAAATCTTAATTTAAAAAAATCTGTTCTCTTTGATATTGTTTTGTTTCACAATTTCACAAGTTGGTTCCTTTCGGCTTATTATACCTATATAAGTTAAGTATCGATTTTTCCAGATTTTTCATTCTGTCTTCGTGTAAGCATCGGGAATCTCTTTCTTTAAGGATTTAATCGAATATATGTAAGTATTATAAGCATTTTCTTTGTAACAGTTATTTAAGTTAGATACCGGTAAGCCGGTAACCTTACCGAAATGAATTTTTATTACAGACCGAAATGGCGACTGAAACTTTAATCCCTCTTGAATCTAACCCTGAAGTAATGAATAAATTTCTTCAAAAATTGGGTGTCCCCAGCAAATGGAATATCGTCGATGTTATGGGTTTAGAGTCTGAAATGTTGTCATGGGTTCCGCGCCCTGTTCTCTCAGTTATGTTGCTTTTCCCCGTTTCTGAAGCATATGAAGAATATAAGCAAAAAGAAGAGAATGAAATTCTGTCCAAAGGCCAAGAAATTAGCAGTAATATTTTTTATATGAAACAGAATATTAGTAATGCCTGTGGCACTGTCGCTCTAGTGCACAGTGTTGCAAACAATACTGACAAAATTCAACTGACTGAAGGTCACTTAAAGAAGTTTTTGGATGAAGCTAAAGACTTAGATGCTGCTGCTCGTGGCACTTTGCTTGAAAAATCAGAAGGTATTATTAATGCTCATAAAGAATTGGCCCAAGAAGGACAAACTAATACTCCTAGTGCTGAAGATCCTGTTAATCATCATTTCATTACTTTTGTCCACAAAGATGGAGCTTTGTATGAGTTAGATGGTCGTAAGGCATTTCCTATAAATCATGGGCCAACTACACCTGATAATTTATTGGAAGATGCAGCAGCTGTTTGCAAGAAGTTTATTGCCCGTGATCCAAATGAAGTCCGCTTCACTGTAGTTGCACTAACTGAGGCTAATTAAATTAAAAAGATGTTATTTAACCTCTCAGACTAAGTCATTACAATAATTATTATGTAACTGTGCTGTGCTTTGAGTAAAATGCCTAAGCAATTTGATTATTCAAAAACAAAAATGTTTGCAAGCTTTGCAAGCTTATGTGATATTCTTACACAAGTAATAAAATTATTTATTTTCGAATACCTTTTGTTAATTATTTGTGAAAACCTCTGTTATATAAATAATATTAAGTCTTTGTAATATTGTAATACATACTAAGAACAATATTTACTTTCATGATACGAATGGGAGGAAACATAACAGTACTTTTAACCCATTTTGAGAATAATACATAATATATTATTTTGTAATTTCAGTCACTATCAGTATATAATAAAATTTGTAATTTAGTGAACAACTATTGTTCACTCAATTACAATTTTTTAAGATCATAATATGTTATGTGACCTAGTTACATTTAAAATTATATTAAATTGTGAATAGTCAAAGAAACCAGGGTCAAAACATGTGACACTAGTGAGTAGGATCTATTAACGTGTTCTACATGTAAAATAAGCATTAAAGACCATTTATTTTATCAAAAAAAAATTCTTAAGTTTTTCAGGTAAAGTCTAGATCACTCCCGGTATTGCTCTATATCTGTTTATCAAGTTTCATTACAATCAGTTTAACCATTTCGAAGATATATCAATTATTATAAGTGTTGTGGATTGTGTTAAAAATTCTATTTCTGATGACTGCATCACTATCCCTAATTTATATATTATATAAATATTTGCGACTTTGGCCAGCCGCGGACTCAGTCTACTGTAGCTGGATGGTACTAGATGGTTGGCTTAACTGGTGATTGGTGAATCGCCAAATCGTAGGTGGAGGATAAATCGACAAATGTTAACATTTATATGATTTGACCAGTGGTAATTGAATCAATAAATAATACATCTATAAATAGGCTTTTATGTGGTAGAGCCATGCTGCAGCTATATTTATTATTACTGGTATAGTTGTAGCACAAATGGGCTACCTCGACCGGGGAAGGACCACATAATACCAGTGTAAAATAGCAGCTTAATGCTGCTGTGTTTCGTATGGTGAATGTAGAGGTCCAGAGACCCTTTTTACTGGAAAAGAGGCATTCCACCTTAGTCCTCACGGATAAAAACGCATGTGCATTTTGATTCGCAGACGAGGATAGATGTAGATGTCTAGAGGCTACAGCAGCCACTTACTATCAGATGGACTGTGTGCCCGCTTGTCATCTTATCCTGTAAAAAAAGATTTTTGTTGAATGAGGGAGGGCATCCACGATTTTTTCTGCCACCAGGGCGGCGCCTCTTAAAAATGAGGTGAAATATTTGACAGATTTCATAACTGAGAATGTATTTGTTCGATAAATTGTTTCTTTCTGTACTATTAGTTATAGTTTTTTTTCGAAACAGTATTTTTTTCGCATTTTTACCGATAACCGATAATACTTGCACAAGCATAATAATATTGTTCTTGAATATTAAAAACAATATATCCATATTTGTTCACTTCAATCCGTAAAACATCGATATTATCCGAAAGTCCTGATCGCAAATTTCCATTAATTAGAACTATTAGATTAGAACTTAGCCTTGGTAATGAGTTGGTTAGATAAACTACATAACACTCACGCCTATCACCCAGAGTCGTAGACAGAGAAACTATGTCTACGCCCAGATGGGTAGGCAGAAACTGGACTTCCATCGACGCTCAGCCGACAAGGAGAGAGAGTTGTTTAACTTCCGTCTATGAATGAACGAGGTTAGTACAACTATTTTAGCTAAAAATTTACAGGCTGGAGAATGAAGTACTCTTACATTTCGGCATACGTAATAGCTAAAATAGTTGTACTGACCTCGTTCATAGAAGCGTTCACTGCTGGTTCTCTCGGTTTCAACGGGCGGCTAGGGTATATACATTGTTCGCGCGCTGAGCCGAGTGTTGAATTATTTTAATTTTACTTATTTTTAGATGGAGCAAAGATCTCTATTTTTGTAGAACGTTATATTTCCGTATCACTAACCATTACACCAGCGCACGCGGATAAATCATTTCGGAAGCGCTTTTCAAGGTGGATAAACGGAATACTAGCTTTTTGTTTACTTAACAAAAATCAATATTTAAGGCTAGCTGAGAGGTGTAGCTTAATGCTAGATAGCTTATACTATAGACCGGTAGTTCCAGATATAAGCCTGTTTAAATAAACAAAATCTCTTCCGCTGTACTAGTTTGAGTATGAATTATTATCCAAACGAATATGAATTGCCGTGCAGTGGCGGTTAAGAATATCCACTACCTCATCTTCCCGTGGGTGTCGTAAAAGGCGACAGTGGGAAACAGGAGATGGGCAGCAGCATCTTCCTGATAACAGCAATATCACAATAAAAAAACTGCGGTTGCCAACCCGCTCGCCAAGCGTGGCAACTATGGCAATATACCCCCTAAATGAATAAAGTTACAAAGAGACGACCCCCAGTCCCCGGCGGCCCCGCTATTCCTGGCTACGTGGCGACCATGGTAACGGCGGGGCAGGGGGTGCTAAGAATCTCCGGTGGAGGTTCGGTTGCCACCTACGACAACTCGACCTGGCAACTTATAATGCACGCGCCCTGAGGACTGACGAGAAGATCCTGAAGCTGGAAGAAGAGATAGACAAGTTGCGCTGGAATATTATAGGACTATCCGAGGTCCGAAGAGAGGGAGAGGACACGGTAATCCTCGAATCCGGCAACTTGTTCTATCACCGGGAGGGCGACCATCTGTCCCAAGGAGGTGTCGGAATTATCGTCCACGAGTCTCTCGTTAACAACGTTGTAAAGATTGAGAATGTGTCGACGAGGGTCGCGCACCTTATACTCAGAATCACCAAACGGTATTCGCTGAATGTCATACAGGTTTACGCACCAACCTCGGCACACCCCGATGAGGAGGTGGAGGAAATGTATGAGGATATCTCTAGAGCCATGCATTCCTCCAAAACCCACTATACGGTGTTAAAGGGAGACTTCAACGCAAAATTAGGCACAAGAGAGTACGGTGAGCTGAACGAAACCCGAGGGGCCAGCAGCTGGCTGACTTCATGGAGAAAGAGGGACTCTTTATGATTAACTCTTTCTTCCAGAAGCGGCACCACAGAAAGTGGACCTGGTCGAGCCCCGACAGTTCGACAAAAAATGAGATTGACTTCATTATGACGACCAGATGACAACTGTTCAGTGATGTCTCAGTGATCGCGAGGGTGAAAACCGGCAGCGATCACCGAATGGTGAGAGGCTCACTGAACCTAAACGTTAAGTTGGAGAGGTCACGTCTAATGAAGTCAACGCTCCGTCCCCCTCGTGCTCTAATCCAAAGCCCTTAAACCTTCAAGCTCTAGCTACGAAACCGTTTTCAGTGCCTAGAAGATTGCAATGCAGTGGACGATATGAATGACAAGCTCGTGGAAACTGTCTATGCGGTCGGAGCTAAGTTTAGCAAGACCCGTCGCAGAAGAACACAAAAACTCCGATCACACTCTTAATCTCATGGCTGTTAGACGGGATAAGAAGCTGCAGTTTTCAGTAGATTTGACAGCATACAGGCAACTGAATAGACAGATCTCCAAATGCAAGCGGCGGGACTTTAATACCTCTCGTATTGAAGAAGCGATCGAGCGGATCCAGGGCTCCAAAGTCCTTGAGATCTGTCCGCCGGAAAGAGCCAACTGTCGAAGCTGAAGACCGAGTGTGGCAGCGTCGTTTCTGGGACACCTGAGATTTTGAGTGAGATTGAGAGGTTCTATTGGCAGCTGTACACATAATCGTTGGAGCCACACGCAAGTGTGAGCAACGATCCAAGAGCGAGTCTTATTCGACACTATTCTGATGATATCCCGGATGTCATTCTGAGCGAGATTAGAATGGCTCTACAGCACCTTAAAAATGGCAAGGCCCCAGGCAGGTATGGAATTACAGCGGAGCTTCTGAAAGCGGGTGGAAAACCGGTACTTGAAGTCCTTCAGAAGCTCTTTAATTCCGTCCTCTATGGTGGCATTACACCGGAGGCGTGGAGCAGAAGTGCGGTGGTCTTGTTCTTCAAGAAAAGTGACAACGCTCTCTTAAAGAACTACAGAGCGATTTCCCTTCTGAGCCGCGTCTACGTGCTGTTTTCGAGAGTCATTACGAATCGTCTCGCGCGCAGACTTGACGACTTCTAGCCTCCCGAACAAGCCGGTTTCCGAAAAGGCTTTAACACCATAGACCACATACATACTCTTCGGCAAATTGTACAGAAGTCCGAGGAGTACAATTTGCCACTATGTCTGGCGTATGTGGTCTATGAGAAAGCCTTTGATTCCGTTGAAATTTGGGCGGTGCTGCAGTACCTTCAGCGGTGCCAAGTTGACTGTCGGCATATCGAAGTGCTGAAGTGTTTGTACAGTAGAGCTACGATGGCTATCCGAGTACAGAACCAGAGTACGAAACCTATCCAATTGAAGAGAGGTGTAAGATAGGGTGACGTTATATCCCCGAAACTTCACCGCTGCATTGGAAGACGTTTTCACACTTCTGGACTGGTAAGGATACGGTATTAACATCAATGGCGAGTACATCACTCACCTTCGATTTGCCGACGATATAGTCGTTATGGCAAAATCGCTGGAGGACCTAAGCAATATGCTCAATGACCTCAATTGTGTTTCCCAATGGATAGGTCTTAAGATGAACATGGACAAAACAAATTCATGTTTAATGTCCATGTCACACCCAACTAGCACGGTAGCGTTAAAACAACCTGTATATCGTTCGTATATGGGATCCTTTCTAGTATCAAAGTGTTAAAAATACCTGTAGCAGCGGTGTTATAAGCGAGTGCTCTAACTTACAACCACGAAAGAGGCCCACGATTTTACAGGTAAAGGTTATAGAAAGCCTGTAGAGCAATGGTATAAAGGTGTTAAAGTACCTACATAAGAGTGTTTATTTATCCTCAGCTACTACTTTAACCGGTATTACTGTGGTTGTAGATGGGTTAGTTAACATTCTGGGACATAGAAAAACGTCGGCTAAGAATAATTTATCACTCTAAACTTCATTAGACCTATTAAAAATAGTTGTTTGACACTTTGACGCGTAATAGTTATATAAAATACTCTCAAGTCTCGTTTGAGAAATTCTATAAACGACATAATAAAATTGTGACAACGAAGAACAGCTTACCGAATGGCGAGACATAATTGACAGAGGAGTTAGGTATAATAAAGTGTTCAAGTTATTTTAGTTTGTGAAGTACAATGATATACTGTACTGAAATACTATGTTTCCCATCTCAATTTTAACGCGTTCAAGATTTGTTAGAGATTTCAAATAAAAGTTATGAAGAATAGAATAGACACCCCAAATTTGTATCATATTTATTCTTGCATCCTGGTCAGTGGCATGTTAAATTAAGTGGCATCAATGGAATAACAAAATTAACAAAAATAATGAAGTATTTTGTTGTCAAATATTGAATAATCCAGTCATCAATTTATAGGTTAGTTTACCAAAACAATGGCGAACTTACTTAAAGCTTTAGGTCTTCACTTAAGTTATCTATTACACACTTTGAGATACAACATCTTTACTCAAGAATTTTGTGCAGTCTTTAGTATACTTAACATTGCAATAATAGACTTGAATAATTATACTTACTATTTATAGCCAAGGCAATACAACCGGCTAAACTTTTTACGAACTGAATGGATTAGGGTTCTTCAACGAAATAATCAAAACCTGCAGTATTAAAAAAATCACAAAAAAATAATGTTTTGGTATACTTAAACCGACTGAATGGTTTATATGGTTTGTAGGGTGTCTTTTTATTAGTTCGATTGTAGTATTATACTACACATCATAACAAACCACTTTTCCTAAGAAACATTTATTTTTAAGGATTGTCCAGGTTTTTATAACTTTAATCATTACAATCGTGATATCTCCTCAGTTCCTTACTCGCAAAATAAGTCAGTCACTCTCACTCAGTCTTACACAGTCAACGGGTGAAGACGAACATCAATGCGTCAGCGGCTCGAGCAGTGTCGTCTGATCTCACTTTGATACCCGAAAATAAAACGCGTACAAGGTCAGACATTCAATAACATTCATTATTTATCTTAACTTAATGTAACATTATAGAATGTTAGACTATAGGTAGATAGTGTAAGTTGGGACTTGTGCCGAAAGATTTGTTTATTTACATAATATTGTGTTGGTATAGGTACGTGGATAGTAGGTAAACCTTATGTTTCTATGTAGGTATAGATATTGATAGATATCTACCATATTGTTTAGCTCTATCTTTATTTTCGCCCCTATTATTACAAAAACACTATTGGGACAACTTTTTTTGTTTTAACTACCCGTGACTTCATCCATATGACAAACGTAACTTCGGTAAATCCAGTAATACCTAATAGTTTTTAAGTTTCTGGGTTACCGGTACAACTACGTACAATGTTATGATTTTTTTAATCGCCGATTCAATGTCACTTGTAGCTTCGTAATTATGATAATTGAAATTATGTAATTGTTTTTATTTATTTTTTATATTTGAACGTTCTTATTGGCCACAAATGCCTGCTTTTAGAGCCCCAAACGGATACGTGTGGAGGTGGAGGATAAATTAAAGTTGACAACTTTCACCAGAGAATATGGGTTAAAATAAAAAAATAATTGGCACGCTTGTGCAAATTGATGAAGAAAGATTTTCTCTCTTGGGACAATTTGTTATACCTTGAGTTACTACGTATATACGTGTTACGTATGTTTTCCGTTGTCTGAATTTGTGTACCAAGTTGTTATTATTATTGTCTCAGCATGCCGTTCAAAGTTGTTCAAACCTTGGAGGGAAGGAAATATAAATTATTTACTATTCCCTCGGGTTGGGAATCTGACAATATTCTCAGATATCCAAATAAATGCATATCAAAGTATTTAAAAGATGAAAATTCAACTACCAACGCTAGACTGGGACGTAATAAAATGTAAAGTAAAACGCATCGATGTATTAAGCTACGAAAACGGAGAAAAGCTTGTATCTGAAATGCTGAAGCACAGTGATACGGAGGACGATATCGATAATTATACGCAGCGGCGACGTCCACATAACAAATCTGTAAATCTGAATCTAATGGCACAAGATATGATAAGAACTACATATTAAATGAAGGTCATGACTTTAGCAGCCTATAAAGAATGAATAAATGTTTTTAAAGATTTAGTCTATTTATTTTTAAACTCTTTGTCAAGTCTTGTTTAATAAAATTTTACCGGCTCTTTTTTGTTTTAGATGGGCAATGTTGTATTGACTAACCATAACACAGACATAGCATCGTCCGCTGACTTGCCGATTGAATTAAACTATAATTTAGTTTATACTGAGAATATTCAAGCAAATTCAACAAATACATCTCAAGTCTTTTCAAACGATATTACACCTTTAGTACAGGATTCAGTAAACTTTGACATCAGTAAAATGTTTGAGAACAAAAAACAAATATTAGATAACCAAGCAACTATTCTAAGCCAAATTCATCAAAATCGACAGCAGCAACTGGATTAGAATAGCTCGGCAATTATCGCCCAGATTCAGTCTCTGATACGGCCTACGGCTGCTCCCACAAAGGTCAAATCCTAGCTGGGGCCCATAGCAGCTTCTTCGACGGGCAGACGTAGGTAGGGCCTCAATATGGCCACGTGGAATATGTTCTATCACAATAAACTATATGGGAGAAAGCTAGAAACACATAGTACTTACCATTATCCGAAGCTAACTTCGCACCAAGGCTTGGGCAGGCCGTGAGTGTGTGTAATAGTGGATGGCGAGTAGTGTACAGTGAGGTGTAAATGTCTGCGACCTGAGCAAGCTTAGGCGACCAGCAGCGGCCGAGCTCCAGGCTGCCCCAAAATGCTGCATTGCTGCAGCAGGCTTCAGCGCCGGACCACTTCTTTCTTCACTGTCACTACTCAGTCTCTCAGCTTCATTGTACATTTAACTAACTTCAATTCTCTCGCTTTCATCGCAGAATCGAACACATCATATCCGACACGGCAAGGACAGTAGCACAAAATTCGACATTGAATGTCCCGGATTCCCTTATCACAAATTATAAATTCGGCACCAGAATAACACGTCGCACCAGAGTCAAAATACGCCTTGTTGACACGCAAATTAATCTAACTAGGCAACCCAAACACAAAAGGCACTAACGCGACGATTCAATTATAACGATATCTTCATATAGCTACCTAGATCCACGACGGGCCGCGAATTTACGTAAGAGGCCTGACGGCCCTCGTGGCTGGCGGGGCACCGACCCCTCGACCACGCGTCGAGCGATAGACTGCCCTCGCGTCGAGCGACTCGGCGTTTATCTCACCTACTCGTACATACCAAATCAGGTGAGGCGCTAGCTTAAACGCCATTGGAGGGCGTACAAATTACCTGTTTTGGCCTAAACAGTCTCTAAACAATGTACAAAATAGTTTCATTCAAAAGGTGCCTGCTTTGTCTGTGCAACTGGAAGACGCAGTTTTTCAAATAACTTCATCATATAATCAATATGTGCAAACTTTGAATAGCAGCAAAGGCCATGTTGAAAATATTCCCATATATGAAAAGCCTGTTGAGAGTGACCAGGATTTAGATGAACTCGAAAATCAGTTATCAGACCCAAACAATAGAGACCGTTTGAAAAATAGATATTCTATACTTTGTTCTGGAAGTAAAGCTATAGACTGTGCTTAAATGCTTGTTGATGTTATGTTTACAAGGAAATTTATTTGTGAGTGCTCATGGAGTGGGGGTAGCAGAGGTGAAGATTTGAAAATTCCTTTAAAAGGTTATAAACATGTTTTGTCATTTTTCTGGAATATGGTGCACTATTTGGATCAGGAATATTCTTTAAAAGATAATGAATTATTTTTCAAAACGCTTTAGATAAATGCCAAAAAAGAAAAATTGCAAAACTTGAAAGAGCTTCAACATCAAGGCAACATTCGAAATCCAAAAATAATTTGAAACGTATGAAGTTTTCTGAAGAAAATGAGACAAATGTAGCTTCTGATAAACGTGAAAGTGAGAATGAGGATAAACGAAGAAGAAAACACGATAAATAATAAAGAAAGAAATGATTCAGTAGAAGAAAACACAAAGGAAAATAAAGAAGACGATCTAATTAAAAATATCTCAAAAGACATCGCCAAATATAATAGTAACGTTACAGTTGGAAAGGAGACAAGTGTCTGAAGTTTAAGAAAGGGAATCGTTACATTAAGCAATTATAAATATTTATTATATATTATACTATTTCGTTTGATAATCTGAAAACTATGTAAAGATTAAAGCTATTAGAGTATTATTTTTATCTATTTTGATTTTGTTACATGTTAGACTATAATTGGAAATCGAGACTAATTGAAATAGTTACTAGACATTACCGAATTATTAAAAATATTTTTATAGGATAATATTTATTATGTAGATCACGTTAGTAGATATACAATATGTAACTAAAACCCTGTGGTTCCCGTTAAGTACGTTATCAGGATCATTATTCAAACGTATATAAATAACTTGTTTTTAAATTTTATTAAAAAATATATGATAACGCTTAACTAATAAAAAAATAATCTAAATTCACTTGCTTTTCAATAAGCGAGACAATCTATACTTCTTACTGCCCGGTGGATCTCAGATGGTAATTTACAGTTTTTTAAAAATGCCTCTAGGTTTTCAATATCTCGCGCACACAGCTTAGTCATATATGTTCCAAAATTGCTGTCTCGCCACCCAATAAGCAGCCTCTTCATTATACCCAGATCTATGAGGTGCAAAGAATCTGCTACTGGAAAATCTTCTACCATATCAATTGGCAATTGTAGTAAAGCAGAATCTATTTTATGATGAGCTCCGTAAGGTTTGGCACTGAAATTTTCATCTGTTCTTGGAGAATCTTCCTTGGTAGAGAAGACTACAGTATGAGATGTATGCGAATATTCTCCAACCGTCGTACACTTTAAACATCCATGTCTTCCGTTAAAATTACATACACCTGAAAAAAGTATGTCACACATTTAGCCAAATCAAATAATTTAGAAAATTTGAAAACATCGCTTTGAAAACTTAGCCTAACTAATTTAGTCACTACATACGAGCGTTAAAGCAATGATTAAAGACTGAATACAGAACATCACAACATTTATTGTAAAATTGACTATACATAGTAATTTAGTTTGTCTATCACGATTATAAGAATAATGTTAAAGTTTCAACACGGTCATAAAGTAAAAATATTTACCTTTAAGGAATGTCCTTGCTAGAGAATCGCAAACAAAACATTTGATTTTTATAGAAACAAGTTTCTCATTTATAATTATTCCATTACTAAAGTAATGATTTCATGTCAGTTACAAAATCTTCAAAATATTCTTCTAATATTTTTGGTTTGCATGTACCATAGTATATTCCAATTGTGAATATATTCCCCTCTGCATTGGCTAATATTGGCCAAAACTACTTTTTGGCACTCTTAAATATTGGTAGACCGTCAAAATTAAAGATTAAATGAATGCTACTGGGAATGGGCGTGAAATCCTTAAGTAATTTCATTAAGGGTTCAGTTATACCATGATGCCAATATTGTACGTAGCCAACGTAGCCTTCATTCAAAATCTAAATAATATTGTTTTCTAGGGACCACGTTTTTAATTGTTTAGTTAGTGTACTAATTTTTTCAATATCACGAAATTTTTCTTTATCTTCTTCTTCATCTTCTGACGCACTAAGTGGTAAGGAATCGTAAAAATTGTGATTTACCTGGGCTTTTTCTTGTTCTTGTTCCTGGGCTTTTTCTTGTTCTACAGAACCCTGTTGTGCCTCCACTCGAACTTGACCAAAATTACTCGTATTATGGCTATTTATATATTCACTTTGTAACGAATCTTCTTTCTTTTCCGTAATAACTGGAATACCAGAATTTAATCGGATATCATCATAACTAAGTGATTTGTTTGTGTCATTCGTAACATTATTAAGTGAATCCAAAAAAATACGGCATTCCTGCTTAATCCTATTTTTCATTGCGCCTGTTTTCTTTTGTTTACTCCATCTTTGTAATTGTTTCATTTTAATGTAACTTAATAATAATACTTGGTAGAAGAATTTCTTCAGTTCTTAATAAGGTTGTTTATAACAAAAATTATAACAATTCGCAACTTTAGAAAGACTGCTTTTGAGTATTAATATCCATACTTGTCTTGTATAACACCATTGCTTTTACAATGTATTTAAAGTGTATATGCCTAACACAATAAGCATTAGTAAAATTAAAATTATAGCTTAAAACTACATAAATGAGTTGTTCAACACTTTTAGTATCTTGTATTAGTACACTCTTGAAAAACTCAAAACAAACAAAATTTTACAACCCCTGTCTGCACCTATAGTCAATATAATACCTAAAGTCATATAAGACACTTCACGGTAACTAAACAATAATAAGTGTTAACGAAAGTCAGCGAACACTGTTGTATAGATTTAGGAGCTACAAACAGGTCAAAGCTACAAGCTACAACATCTTAACTATACTTGCTGTGATTAGCACTATTCTAACTCTTAAAGCAATCTAACATCGTTCATTAAAGTTGTACCACTGTTGGAGCTAAATTTATTTTTTAACTCTTATATATCTCTGTTAGTTAGAACTGAGATAATTATTACTCAGTTAATCAGATTAAAGTTATATTAAAACCTGTAACTGACACCAAAATGTTAGTTGGGCACCTATGCCGGTAGTTGTTGGGAGCACTAAGCTCGAAGTTGTTGACGAGTATGTTTACCTGGGACAAATAGTCCGACTAGGTAAGTCCAACTTCGACCGAGAGGTCAATCGACGGATTCAACTCGGTTGGGCAGCGTTCGGGAAATTACGGCACATCTTCTCGTCAGGTATACCTCAAAACTTAAAAACGAGACTGTACAACCAGTGCGTGTTGCCAGTGATGACTTATGAAACTGAGACGTGCTCCTTCACTGCTGGCCGGATGAGGAAGCTCAAGGTCACTCAGCGGGCTATGGAGAGGGCTATGCTCGGAGTTTCTCTGCGTGATAAACTTAGAAATGAGGATATCCGCAGTAGAACCAGTGACCGACATAGCCCCACGGATTAGTAAGCTGAAGTGGCAATGGACCGGCCATATAGCTCGAAGAACCGACAACCGATGGGGAAAAAAGTTTCTCGAGTGGCGGCCTCGTATCGGCGGACAAAGTGTAGGGCGTCCCCCCACTAGATGGAGTGATGACCTGGTAAGACATGCAGGAAGTCGATGTATGCAGGTGACTCAGGACCGTGCTTTGTGTCATTCCTTGGGGAGGCCTATGTTCAGCAGTGGACTTGTGAAGTGCTGTAATGATGATGATGATGAATATGAATTATTAACATACCTATGCATTGACACAAGAAATATCTATATTTCTTTTTTATTTTATTTAGATTACAATCACTATTACCACAATGTAAACCAAGATAAGCCGTCGCCAAAAAGGATTGGCAAGTCAGAACACCCAAGAAAACAGAACCAAAACTTTAGTTGTAGCAATTTACGTTTTACAAGAAGTACTACTTGCCATACGAACGAGCCGTAAAATTACGGCCTATTAAAGTCCCCTGCTGAACATAGGCCTCTCCCCATAGATGGCGTCGTAAGGGGCATATTTGACATAGTGTCACGTCTGGTAAGCAGGATGGCAACCGCAGTTTTTTAATTTTTTGTCGTTATTAGGAAGACGCTGCTGCCCATTCCCTGAGTAGTTACCCTCTGTCGTTTTTTACGACACCTACGGGATGATATATGGGGTAGTGGATATTCGTATTCTTACACCGCCAATACTCGGTAACGCAGTACGAACGAGCAATTTTCGAGATATAAAACTCAAGACTGCCGCATATTTACTTCGGCCACAACCAACCAGCCGACGACAATGGCAACATCGATATTACCAACGCCTCGTAATGTAACGTAACGCCTTAAGCAATGAGCGATGCAACAAAAACTGGCCAGTGTTTGTTTACAAGCGTGTTGTATATACAGGGTATTTTTGGAACGCTCCCGAAAACTAAGACAGCACAGCGTACGCACAGCATACGACAGCACCAAGTATACGTTTGATCATGGGTCACAAATAAATTTGATCCTGATGAAAAAAAAATCATATTTTTTACAACATTTTATTAGCTTTATTCACGCGCCATCATGTTAGTACAGCTAAATGAAACGATAATTTCATTAAAAAATTTATGAAAATTCTGAAACATAAAACCAGCAGTGGAAACTGAATTGATATCACCTGACTAATGGAGGTTAATGTACGCACGAACGGTGAAAAAAGAACGCTGGCCTTGAACTTGGGCACTGAGCGATTTATCACATATTGGTACGAAAGGGGCGCGACGGGGGAACAATCCGCCAGTATTACTGTGCCTGTATGCTATTGGTTCCCGCGTTTTGTTCGCTCCGAAAATACAGTCGCATACACAGCTTACTTTGCGACACGCGACGATGTTTTAAAAAGGAAGGAAAGAAAAATTATTTATATCTATTGTTTTATGACTAAACTAGTGAACGAAAAGGTAAATATGATAGGAGAAGGTGAATGGGGAAAATTGTGCATTAAAATTAAAAGTGTTGAGGAAGAATACCGAAAAAATTACCATGTGATCGACCTGATGACGGAAGCTCAAGCGAAGATGAAAGTGATGATGAAGTAGCATCCAGTAACACCAACACACCATCAACATCTGGCTTCCATGTGGCCCAAGACGTCATAATGGACGGCGTGTCACCCTTAGCTTAAGTTTTCTTGTTACAAACTACTTTATATTTTACGATAGAAATTACAAGTAATGCTCAAGTAAACATTAATCATTTTTAATTCCCACCTCTTCCAAAGTTCTAAGTAGCTAGTAAAACACCTAGTATGATTCTACAATAAAACAATTAATTACTATAATATTATAAAACAAGAGCCCAATACCGTGTAGTACTTTAGAACGCGACTGTACCCACATTCCCTCCGCTGTCGACCTATCTAGCTCGGTACGAAACAATGCTGCGGTCATAAGAAAAAAGGGCGCATCTAACAATTTTTGAATAAATGAGTTAAATATACCATTCGACTCATGATAAGAAGGCGCACCTACTAATTTTTTTTTAATTATTAAATATCAATGTTTTAGAAATTATCGTAAG